AAAGTATCTTTCCAGAATTTTTCCCTTTCAGAAATTATGTTTGATTTGTCAGAAACCCATAAAAGTGATTATCTTATCATGCACTGTGATATAATGTAAGCAACACGCCTTTTTTTTTTTTATACGCACACCCCCGCCAGTTGAGCAGTCTCGGGCATCTGGTCAGGATGCCTCCTGGACGCCTCCTGGACGTGAGGTTTTCTGGGCACGTCCAACCGGGAGGAGGCCTAAAGTTAGACCCAGGACACGATGGAGGGACTATGTCTCTCACCTGGCCAGGGAACGCCTTGGGATTCCCCTGGAGGAGCTGGCCCAAGAGGCTGGGGAGAGGGACGCCTGGGCCTCTCGACTTAAGCGACTGCCCCTACGACCCAACTTCGGATAAGCGGATGAAAATGGATGGATGGATGGATGGATGGATGGATGAATTTACTGTATAGTCTGGCCACGACCCATAGACATATCTCAGGCTTGGGATCTATGGTTGTCTTTCAAACTGTCTCCACATTCTACTGGACAACAACCAATGTGACATATTAACAGCTAGTCAGTTAGTCAATGGGGCAGTCCCTCACTCTGTCGAAGAAGACGCACAAACTAGGAAGTGAGTGTCGGACCGGAAGATGTTTGAGCTTCACCTGACATGTTCTCAAACATTTACCCTGATGAAATAATGATTGAATGCTAATAGCTTGGGCTAGCATTAGCAGTAGCTCAAACTAGCATTAGAAGGCAGTAGTAGTTCGGGCTAGCATTAGCCAGGGCTGCCAAATTTTTAACTTTTCAAAGTGTGTGTGTGTGTGTGTGTGTGTGTGTGTGTGTGTGTGTGTGTGTGTGTGTGTGTGTGTGTGTGTGTTGTGTGAGATATTGGAGGTGTGACATGAGAGCATGTGAAGACGGTCAAATGTGTGTGTCTCAGGCTCAATGCTGGGGTTAGCAATGGTAGTAGGTCAGATTAGCATTATTCTGCGTTTAGCGTCACTGGGACCATTGCCGTTGTTGAAGTGGGTTGGTACATGCTAATTTAAGGTAGTGTCTCAAAAGCTTTGACATGTTATATCAAGTTTTCTTGGAATGAACTGCTTCTCAGCAGCCATTTCAACATTACTAAGCAGCTTGAAGGAAGCATTGACAGTACATTTTCGTACATTAGACACTCCAAGGAAGGTTTACACATCGTGAAACCACAAAAACTGTATGAAACAATAAATAAAAAGCAAAGATAGAGTCATGAGGCCACTGATTAAAAACACAAGCCAAAAGATCCAATGAGCTGGAACAAGGGGGAGGGCTACAAGCCTCATCTATCATCTATCAGACCCAACATGTCAACTGGGTTAGTCACGCCCATAGAAACAAAACAAAACTTCCTTCAGAAAACTAACTTATAATCATTCTTGAACACCCAGCATTTCCTCCTGTTTGTTTGTTTTTTTTTCCCTTTCAGTTCAGCATTATTTTCCCAAAGAGCTTTTCGCTGAGCGCTAAAACTCAAATTAAGCTTTCAGAACTGCTGGAAATGAGGTCACGTTTAGGGACAGATTTAAACGCCCTGCACTGATTTCTACTAGCAGCAGCAGCACTGTGTTGGTTTCCAAAGACCACGTGTAAAAACTGTTGGAGATAATTGATGCTCATCTGTGTAGCCAAGCATGCTTCAATATTTGGAACTAATTTAGCTGTAGAGTGAGGGGATTCGAGTGGGAGGACAACTTGGAACGAGCTAGGACTTTCCCTTTTCTTTTCCTCCATCAATCTCGTTTCCTCCACATAATTATATGTATTAAATTAATTGAGAATGCCTATTTGCATATCTAGGTTATTTCTCTTATGGAGGAAAAGGTCTTTGGAGAGTTTGGAAACAATTACAAGGCTGCCAGACGGTGAAATACCACCATTTCTATCGACATGTCTGCCTTTTTTTCCCTAGCCTGTGTTTTACTCCAGGGAGGATTTGGCTGCAGAGCTCCAGAGAGATGTGATAAAGCTGTGGTTGCAGGAGTCACATCCATGAAACAATTTAATGGCCTTCACCTGACATCTTTAAATTACTTATTTATCGCTTTTCTTTGCTAGGAAGGAAGCAGTTAGAAATATGTTTCTGAGCAGTTTTGACCATGGCTGTTTTTAATTTAATACTGGCTGATGTATTTTATTTAAACATGGCGAGAGCATCTGTTTTTTATATTTTTTCTAGACCACGCTGGGATTTTTTTTTAATATATTTTCAGCAGTGCTATTTTTTATTCATTTACACTGCTGAAATGTGAAACAAGTAACGGACGGTTCAGCTGAGCTGTGTGTTTGTGTGTGTGTGTTGAAAAAGTTACTGCTGTCTTTTGGAAAGTCTTACACCTTAAAGTGGCAGTGTGTAGTTTTCTGGCACTAGGGGGCAGTAAATACACACATCAGTGTTTTTCCTACATAGGCTCAGGCGTGGCGCTGTGCCAAATTCCAGCGCCACACCTACAAGATCCACCCCCCCCCCCCCCCCCCCCACCACCCCCCCACCCCCCCCGAACCCTGAGACGCACCCCTCCCAGAGGCGGTTTTACCATTAGGCATAGGTAGGCGGCCGCCTGGGGCCCCCTAGTGGTGGGGGCCTCCTAGCCCTGACCGTCGGCACCCCTCTGTTAATGCCACAATATTCTTATTACCAACCTGTGGCCGCAGACGGGATTGGACATGCGCACTTCTCATTACCATAATTCCTGAACCATTCAAGATATCATTAAAATTCCAAAAGTGCTGAAAAGATTAAAAATGGGGCTTTTCGTGCATATACAATACATTACGGTAGCCACCGGGATTCCCTGTCTTGAGCGCAATGAATCACAACACAGATTCAGAGACGTGCTGTTTGTCATCCAAAATGCTCCGTTTTATAACTTTTGAACGGCTGATCAGATTCAAATAATTCCAACGGTTCCTAAAAGTACATAAAAGCAGCTTTCCAACGATCTATAGTATGAAGCAATCAGAGTTAGGGAAAATATCGCTACGAGGGGAAATCCTGCTGTACAGCCTGATAGAAACGGAGCACAGCGCGGTGGAAGCGGATATCGGAACGGGGAAGCTAATTAGCATAAAAACCAGCATGAAATTATGGAAATGCCTCAAAGAAAATCAACACGATCTATTAGGTGTCCCAGAAGGCTTATATCTGAAGTCAGTGACCACGAAGAAGGACAGATCTCCAGTGAACCAGGATATGAATGTTTGTTCCGTCTTTATATTTTATTTTTTTATTTTAACAACCCTCAACTATTTGCTAATTGTAAGATTCAGCTTCATTCCAGCATTATTTATCCTTTTACAATAAATAATTATTTTTCCTAAAACAAAAGTTTTTGGTATAGCAGCACGGTGTGCCAGAGAAGCACCCCAGTGTGAGGTGGGACTCTGCCTGCAGCTGGAGAGAAACTGCTTCAAGGTCTACCATCAAATAAAACGTCTGAAAGTTAACAATACTAAATGGTCTTAAAAACAGCTAAAAATGATACCAAGGTTCAAATTTTTTAAAGAATAGATGCATTTCAGTTCAAAGTTTGAATTGTTTGCCCAGTAAATTTGAAGTTCCTGTTCAGTAAGAAATGTAAAAAATTCAAATACGTTTTTTGCTTTTTTCACTTTGAAGCTGATTTTTTAAAGGCTTTAATAGAAATACATTCTAAATACAAACCACACACTGAAAGCTGAGGTTGTTCTGAAAAAAGGAGAAGAGCTACACACACCTTTGTACTTTTTATTACAATTTTACAGCCATAAGATTAAAAACATACCAGGCGGCCCCGTTTATAATTATGGTCATAAGAGGGTTATTAAGACTGCGATGCACAAACAGGAAGTGATTGGTAGTCATTCCACTCCAATCCAGTTGGTGGCGGTAATGCACCAAATTGTTGTTTGCCAAGTGCCATGAGACCACAAATAAGAAGAATAAGAGAGGTGGGAGCGTTTGTAACAAACTCAAAGCAATAGTAAAACATGAAGCATGAAATGGAGTTATCCTAGTGGCTCCAATAAGAGAAAGAAGCAGCTTGCTTCATAAAAGCTTTTATTTTCACTTCTGAAAGTGACGTCGTTTCTCGATGTAAACATCAAAAGGAGGCAGAAAGGAAAGACAATGGAAAATGTTTAAAGGGAGGAAAACATAGACCAAAATGGAAAATAGAAATAAAATAACAAAGGCAAAAGCAGGAGCACTGACAGGAAGAAGAAAGCACTCAAAGGGAGAGAAAAACAGGAAAAAAGAGGAGGACTAATAAAAAGTGAAAATAAATCGGGTCAGAAGAGGGTAGATTTTCGCAAATCCAGTTAACGGTAAGATTGTCGAAAATTTAGTGTAAGAGGCCCCATGTCTGTGTTCGCCTTGGGCCCCCAAATTGCTAAATCCGCCCCTGACCCCTCCAGAGGTTCTGTGTGTTCAAAATTAGGCTAATTCATTCAAACCAGTGAGAATCATGGAAAACAGAAATAAAAGTAAGGGGGAAGGAAGCTGAAAGTTTGAAAGGTTTCTACAAGAAGACATATTTAATCTGCAAAACAAACCTAACAGCTTCAGCGATTCCTCAGGAGATAGGGAGGAGGGGTATTCGTGGGTAGTTTCTGCTCATTAAAAAAAGAGAGCTGCAGTTTATTAGCTTGACTTTCCCATTTTCCAGTCAGAATTGACAAAGCTGCTCAGATGAAAAGCGAAACGTCTTCAAGAAACCAAAGAAGTCCAGTAGCCTTCATTTAAACCCCTTAGAAAAAAATAAAAATAAAAAATAAACAACATAGTAATAAAATAAAAGGCTTTTATTCTGATTCTTGGAAGTCTATTGAATGATGTGCACCAAATTTTCTTGTAGAATGTGGAACAATAAATGAAAATAATAAAAAATACTATGAATTCCTGGAGTTTTTAATTCAGCTAAAATGAGTAAAGTCAACTGATTTTCCCTCAGAAAAAAATCTGAATAGAGCCATAAAGATTCAGGCCAAATAAAGAAGAGACGTTTCTATGTAATTAAGACTTTATTGTGATTAGAGTTGGGGAAAAAAACATTTTCTCTGCTGTTTTACAAAAAATTTTGCATCAGCACATCATATTTATAACTGTCAAGGATTCAACTGAAATGGATAATTAAAGAAACAAACTAACATTTTGAACTGCTTCTCTAGTTCAAGATGTTTCAATCAGATGCAAATATTCATCCATCCATCTAAGCAGAACTAAATATTTTTACATATTGAGCTACTTCTGGGTGCTCTTACACCACATAGGTCCTGATTTGGGACTTTTTGGAGCAAGACTGAAACATTATGCAGCCAAACCTTTCTCACTTTAAATTATTGGTCACAAAATCTCAGATCGCCATTGCAATGATATTTACAAAGTAGGAAAATGCACATCAGGTATTCATGGAATCAATAAAAACACCCAGCGGAGTCCCCCTCCTGCACCCTTTTTCATTTTTTACAAACATTATTCCTTTAATTATAATTTCATTACTTTTTAAAAGAATCAGCAACCTTTCTTAGTTCTTAAAATAAACTTTGCTGCTGCTGATAATAAAAAGTACAGTTAGAATTAAGTCCCTCTGTTTGCACCACAGCATCACCCTCCATCTGCATGTATAATTCATTTCTGCAAGGGAATTAAAATGAATCGTTTTTTGCTGCTTAAGATAAAATGTGGTTTTAAATGCAGTTTAGATAAAAATCCTGAAAGTCAATTATCTCCATAACATCCCACTGGAGATAATAATCTCCTGCAGAACAGTTTTATTTAATTGTTTATTTATTTTACACCACAGTCGAGTAAATTGCCAATTTGAGTTTATGATGGAGGTCAGAGACATCCACCCACCACACAGGAGGCTTGTACAATATGATGCAGCACTTCAGCAGCAGCAAAAAGACATTTCTGTTATTAATTAGCCAATAAATAAATAAACAAATAATTAGAATTAGGTGTTTCTGCCTCTTGTTAGACCAACAGCTCCTTTGCATGTCATTCCTTTTGTCTGATTCCCCCTCTGACACATTTATTGGATCCCTTGTGTCTTCTTTTTCACCGCTTAATTTAATGCTTCATTTAATACAGCTCAGTCTCCTCATCAAAGGTGGTGCTGCTCTCCTCTGAAGCCAAAGGGCATGTTTGATATTCTGTTCTTAAAGACGGAGAGCTCTCACCAACTTCATCCAGCGTCATTATCTCTGTGGAACAACGTCACGGAGCGGGAGAGGACCCGAGAGGAAGATGGAAAACAGATGTGCTCTGTGTTGTTACGAGGATGTCGTTGTTGGATAAAAACACACCGATGTGGTGTTTGTAATCCTTACTTGGTTTATTCATTTGATTTGAAAGTAATGCTTTGAGTTACATTGGTTGATATTTTTGTAAGCTGCTGTTATCTATTTATAAAACCAGTTGCATCACATGCAGGGTACCCACTGTGCCATCTCCTGGTACAACAAAGGTCTTCTCATAATTCTACATTCTGTGTGTAAAGTGGTACTCTGCTGCCCCCTTTAGGGCAATAATATATAGCACAAACTCATGAGCTGATTGCTTGAAATGTACTTTTGGGTTTTCCTCCCAGCTGGCACACTGTCTCACAGCCATCATGTCTCCTGTATGGTTCCACTGCCACGGGTTTGCTCGACTTGTCCACACATGTGCTGATCAGGTGGATGAAGCTCATGATGGTGACCAGAAGCATCATGATGCCTGAAAGAGAAAGAGATCAGTTTCAGTTTCTTGAATCAAAACCAAATATTTTCATTCCCTGTGTTGACGTCTTACCGCAGATGGCTGTGTTTATGGAGAGGTTTTGGACCCGATAACTGCTGGTGAACATGGAACCGAGGCCAAGAACGAGGACGGCGTAAACACTGAAGGTGTGGCGCATGTGTTTGCTGAAGAAGAAGTTCTGCAGGATGAACCTTTCAAATAAAGAAAATATGCTATTCGCCGTTTTGGCTTGTGAATATGCAGCTTCTCTTTGGGTCGTAGTTACCAGGTGATGATACACAAGAAGATGATGGCCAGGATTATGGTGCTGACTAATGGGTCTTCCACAAAAGCGTAGTACTTGAGCACCAAGCCAAGACCCACCGCAGCATGCAGGACAGACCACCAAGCAAATGCAGCCAACCCGTTCTGGGTCTGACAGAAAACAATTATCAGCTCTTCTCTCTTACTTTGACAACAAATTAAAATTAAGAAGAAGAAGAAACCATTTTTATATTGCGCCTCCTTAAATTAAATCCTGATCACCAGATAGCGAGTCCAGTGGATCACACTGGGGTTGTTGATGGCCAGCCAGGATTTGTGTTTGCTGAGGTTGGAGTAGGATATGTAGAGCATGCCAAAGCTGTAGACTGGTAGAATCCACCTGAGCACCACAGCTGATAGGATGAAGCTGTAAAAAGCAGAGAGCGTTGATTTTATTGCCTTTTAGAGGTTTATGAGCGAGAACTGCACATGGCTTACCGCTGATCCCAAAAGGGCATGCTGCAAACTCTTGTAATGTTAACTGTGGCCCACATCAGGTAGAACTTGGGAGGGTGGATCTCAGGATTCCAAGCCTCGGGGCCGAGAACGTTTCTACAGATGGAGCAACCATAATCAGATCAGAAACTCTGATTAAACATGTTGCGTTGGTTAACAGCAGAGTTTATGTTTGTACCTTTTAAAGAGACTAACCACCGCATAAATAAGCCAAGCTTTCGACCACAGGTCAATCAGGATCCAGTAGGTCTCTGACCACCAATCCATAGACACCTCCAGTGGGAAGGACTCAGACACGTTCCTCGAAGAGGTCTGAAACAGTGCTGAGGGACCCAAAAGAACATTTCTGATCCGGAGTTAAACATAACAGAGCTCTAAACGGTACATAGACTCACTCACCATTTGGAACGCAGCTTTCCTGAGCCAGAACAAAAAAGATGCCTGAGATTATCTGAGTGATGAACGCAAGAACGATGCTGCCAGCGTGGATCGCTACACGGCAACCATTACTAGCCGAGTTAGAAACCATGGTGGAGCCGCTGGATTGTGTCGACTGACTCCAGCTGGAGCTCCGTAGGACACTGTCACTGTAATTGAGTACATTGGACTTTGGATCTTTATTTATCTTGAGCAATTATATGATCCTGTTTTGACTACACCTGTAATCCCCCTCAAACTTGGCACCACATGAGATTTGCTACAGAAACAATATAAAATACCACAGGAAGGTTGCAGTTCATTCAGTGGAGATTCAATGTAATTTAATGTAATGTAAGGTGGGAACCAGATGGACTGGTTAAACTCAGCTTTTTAACGATTCTCTTCCGGCTGTAACAGGCGCTGCTTTGTTTACTTCAAACAGCTGCGAGTATCTGCTTTTGTTTTCAGAGGACTGCATGTGCTCCTTTTTAGTCCTGTTTGTTGCAAACTTCCACCCTATTTTTCAGCAATTTTACATGTGTAAAGTTATTCATTACATTTTAAAGGTTTATAATAAAAAAATGCTTCAAACATTTATAAAGCTGCAAGCTTTGATGTGCACACAACTACAGACTGTTTAACACACAAAGAGTGACAGCTAATCCTCCTCTGTTGGTCTTAGCTTCCCTTTGCTCTTTGGTCATTGTTTTAAGCGTTAGAACAGCTGGATTTGCATCTGTTTGTTGGAACAAATACATTTTTTAGCTTTCTTGACATTAATTGAAGCACGATACTGTGATTGAAAATTCAAATTGAGTTATATTCCTGTATTTTGTCAAAGAGAGTGAGAGAAGGAGCTGTTTTGGTGTGGGCTTTTACATTTGGACTTTCGTTCAAGCGTTATTGTTTAATTCTAAGAACATGTGATTTAATTCTTTTTTTTAACCTTGTAACCTTTAAAAGCCTGAAATAAAATTCTGGAATTGATTGAATATGTAATAATATCTGATTATTTAACAACAAAAACACTAACTAAAGATGTTAGAAACCATTGAAACAGGCTTTCCAAACATGCTACACTGTAAAAAATAAAATGTTGAATTGACTTTACCAAGTAAAGTCGACTGGTTCCACTAAACCTGGTTGCTTCAATGTGAAAAGTAATAAACATTTACTTTTAATAAAACAAAGTTTAAGAATTACTCTTTACATTAAAGCAACTGGATTTAGTGGAACCACTTGACATAATCTGGTTAAGTTAATTCAACATTTCGTTAGAATTCTTGGAGTGTGCGTCTGACATTACTGACAACTTTTAAAGAGCTTACATTATTTTATTTCTCTCATGTTATTTTTTAGTATTTTCAATTGTTTACATATTTTTCTCATAAATAAACTCTACTTTCAATATTTGACTAGAAAACTCATTATTCTAAAAGTTTGTACATTTTTCTTTCTTAAATAACTTAGCAATACAATGAAAGACCCTGTAGAAAAATCCTTCCTGCTACATCCAGTTTTTATAAAAAGATTCTTCTTTGTGTCAACGAAATTTCCACTGGCGACAAACTGGGACCATTGTCCTTGTAAAGCGGCTGTTTGTGATGCCTCCATGCTACCAGAGCTACTCGTAACACAAACAAGATGCAGGAAATCATCAGGATCGAAGCTGCAGAAAGAAGAACAGAGAAAAACAGTTAGGGTTGCGTAAAAATAAAACAGCAGTGAAGGTTCTTGGAGTATACCTGCAAAGATGTACATAAGGTTATCAGAAGATCCAGAGTTGGTCAGGACCCCCAACAGCCAGAGGATAACCACGGGGTAGATGGTTACATTGTAACGCACTTGTTCATCTAGATAGAAGTTCTCCAACAGAAACCTGAGAGCAGCAAATCAAGTGTTGTTCCTCGGCTCTTGTTTTGTGACAGGAAACAGCGGGGAGTCAGCCTCACCACACTAACAGCTCCATCAGTAGCAGCAGCAGCGACAACATGGCACAGTCGCACCTCGATGTGTCTTTCTGATGTTGCAAGTAGATTGTCAGGTTCAGTAGGGTGGAGAGAGTCCCCCACGTTGCATAAACTGCCACTCCGTTCTGCACCTGATTCAACACAGTGACAGAGAGCTGTTAGCATGGCGGTGTGATGGACTGGCATGTCCTCCGTGTTTCTCCTGGTGCTTTAGCTGGTTCTACATATTGCAAATACTCTATCTGTAGCTGAAATTGTAGGTAACTGAAGCTGAGCTAGGCGTTGTTTCAGGAAAAATGCATATGGAATGGAGGGCTGGGTTTCTAGATCTGTTTAGATTGAACCAAAACAACATTTTGGGGTTGTTACAGGCAAAAGTCCAAAAATCTGAAGATGGTGCACAAGTTTGTTTATTTCATTAATTCAATTTAAAGGTGAAACAAATATTTGGGATAGATTCATCACATGCTAAGCCAGAGACTCTTCAAGTCTTTATTTGTTAAAATTAAGGTCTCCTTCCCTTCCAGTCGGCTCATGGGTCAAAACGTTTCTTGCTTATTTACTTACTTACATACTTATTTACTTTTACATACTATATTACTTGCTTACCTACATTATTACTTACTTAGTTACTTTATTACTTACTTTTACTTACTACATTACTTACTTACCTACTTTGTTACTTAGTTACTTTATTACTTAGTTGCTTATTTACTTACTTACTTATTTACACTTACTTATGTTTACTGACTTACTATTACTTACTGCATTACTTACTTAGTTACTTTTACATACTTACCTTTTACCTTACTTTATTACTTACTTAGTTACTTTATTACTTACTTTGATACTTTAATGCTCATTTACTTACACTTACTTACCTACTTACTTGCTTGCTTACGTTTACTGACTTACTATTACTTACTTTATTACTTACTTTATTACTAACTTAGTTACTTTAATACTTACGTACTTACTTACTTACATTTACTGACTAACTATTACCTTATTACTTACTTAGTTACTTTATTACTTACTTAGTTACTTGCTTGCTTATGTTTACTAACTAACTTACTTACTTAGTTACTTTATTACTTACTTACTTACATACTTACTTCAGATCTGTCATATTTTGACATTTTGAGAGAGAGAGGTAGCTGGAGAGGTTGATGTGTAACATGTCTATGATATGTAAAGGTGTGTCACTGAGTTAAAAGTATGAAAACCGATACCAATATTTAATTTAACACTGAAATAGGCCGATGTTACTGGTAGACTGATAATATCCAACATCCTTACTTACCTACTTACTTACTTTCCTACTTTTACTTAATTACCCATTTACCTAATTACCTTATTTACTTTTACTTACTTGCTTACTTACTTATCTACTTAATAAGTACTTATTGCTTAATTACTTTCTTACTTATCTTACGAAGTGATGCCACCAACATCCGGCGGTTACCCAGACGAAGCCTGACGAAGATGGCAGTGACGTCGAAATATGTCGGCAAAGGTAAAAGCAAACCCTCATCACACTGTGTACGACGCTCCAACTGTCTTTCACTTACCTACTTGATTACCAGCTTAATTACTTTTAATTAATTACTCACAAACCTACTTAATTACCTGCTTACTTTTACTTACTTGCTTACTTACTTATCTACATAATTACCAGCTCAATTACTTTCAATTCATTACTCACTTACCTACTTAATTACCTACTTACTTTTACTTACTCGCTTACTTATTTATCTACTTCATTACCAGCTCAATTACTTTTACTTCAATACTCACTTACCTACTTAATTACCTACTTACTTTTACTTACTTGCTTACTTACTTATCAGCTTAATTACTAACTTAATTACTTTTTACTCAATTACTTACTTTCACTTTTATAACTTAATTACTTACTTAGTTTTACTTAATTACCTACTTTTACTCATTTACTTATTAAACTTTTTTGCCTAACTTACTTGCATTTTTGCTTAATTACTTACTTTAATTTCATAAATTACTTTAACTTACTTACTTATTTACTTTTACTTACTTACTTTTTAACCTAATTACTTACTTACTCACATACTTATCTAGTTAATTTCTTACTTACTTAGTTAATTACCTACTTACTTGCTTTGTTACTTCATTTCTTACTTTTCTCTGTTAATTACCTATTTTTCTATCATATTGTAATGCATTATCTAATGTAATGTATCATAATCTATAACGTCACATTGTATTGTATGAGATAGCACCTTCTTGCTCAGTATTTATGTCTTATCATCTACGTTGTATTTCATGTGTTGTATCAAATCAAATCAAACCATATCATGTATCAGTTTATGTCGAACTGCATCATGTCGAGTTACATAATGTTGTGTATTATATCACAATTCGCTCAGCTTGTCTCAAAAATCAGCAAACATGCAGAACTTTGCTTTAAATGTATGATTATTACCAATATTCTGAAAATCCAGAGTTCTACGTTGTGATGTTTGTTTAACCAAGCTCCATAAATCTTGAGTCCACAACAGGAGAAAAACAGAATGGTGTAATCAGTGACAGTCATTAGTGCTGATGTTATAAGCACTGCTAGTATCAACCTGCAGACACAGAAAAACGTACACATCACACATGACAGCAGAGGGCCCTACTGAATGTCCCATTTTAGAAACATGTGACTCACTCTCTGTCATACAGAAACAACCATGTAATGTTCAAGCAGAGGTTGATGATAATGGTGATATGAAAACCATAGGGCAGCACTGAAGGCGTGGTATACATCCAGGCATAAGAACTCCTGCAGGGAGAAAGGATAATACTATTAGATATGAGTGGCAAAGTACACTGCAGCAAATAAATGGTGGCAATGGGGACATAAGCTCTCTTTTCATGCAATGTTTGAGCATGTAAAGAGAAAATAACTACTCTGAGTAGGCCTGAATAGCCTGCAAGAGATGGATTTAGTTTTTCCACATGCACACATTGAGGGTGAGATAAAAGTATTAAATATCCTCCACTGGGCTGCAGCTATAGAGCTCATGTAAATAAACTGTGAAAATAGCTTTTAAAAGTGCTTGCCTTCTGCAGAGTCCAGCCAGGAAGTAGACAAACATGGCAAAAAACCCAAAATAAATGAAATCCCAGACGAAAAAAGCCCACTGGGCAGGAGTTATGGGCGTCATGTACTTGAGCGTGACATCCTCTGTGCGCTGCTTGAAGACACCTGAATTTGAGAGTATGATATTTGCTCCACAGCTTTAGATGAAAGAGACTCCTCTTAGAAACCCTTACCTGATTTATCGCCAAAGCCTGAAAGAGTGTTGAGCGTGATTGCAGCTAAAAGGATAAACAGTCCAAGAAACATTAGCACAACACGGGCTGGGCTGGGGTCTGACATGATGACCTCCCGAGGGGTGAAAGTCCACAAGAGGAATAAAAATCTACAAAAATGATGACAGATTTCAAGGATAAACTTGCACGTGTTTCCTCATCAGCCATCTGACTCTCCTGTGACGAATATCGTTCTGAGTCAAGAGTTAAATAATAGAAAATGTCCGAACGGATCATAACTTGTGTCACAGCACGTCCTTTTATAACTCCACAATGAGTATCTGTTATCTTCCCCCGCCATAAATACTCTGCTGTTTAGTTGTTAAAAGCAGGGTAAAGAGTAAAGACAGGCTTGTGAAAATAAAGAACGCAGCTGGATGAATGTAACTCATAAAGCAGGTTAACATGGCTGTTGTGTGGAAAGTTTACAGCGTCCTACATAAAACTGTCTGTAGAGGCCAGCGGTGCCACCATCTTTCATGTTTTGCAGGCTGAAACGGTCTTATCTACGCTGACAGCTTAATCCTCGAAATAAAAACTAGAAAAACAATACCAGGCCATGGTACACATAGATCTGTTTACTTGTAAGTTAGATAACTGTGTATGAAATAAAAATGGATAGTCACACAAATATTCCTTTGATTAGAAGTGTATCTAAGCTGACCAATAAAGAAAATATGTTGGTGCAAGTGAGGTGTTTTCATGGTTTTAAAGGTTAAAAAAAAGAAAAAAAAGTATTTTTAAAGGAACTGCGTAATACCTTTTCAAAGTAAAACTATTTGTGCGTGCGTGCGTGCGTGCGTGCGTGTGTGTGTGTGTGTGTGTGTGTGTGTGTGTGTGTGTGTGTGTGTGTGTGTGTGTGTGTGTCTTGTCCACACAGTGGCACTGTTGTATTACATTGCTGCAGTGTGATAGACCTGCTGAATCCATAAAAAAACAACAAAAGTTCTTAGCCTGGTTCTTTTTATGCACAAGCTGAATAACAAACATATTGTGAAGGTGGTTTGTCACCTAGATGGTGAATGTCAAATCGAATAAATAAATAAATAAATAGCTTGCATCACCTTCTTTCCTACTTTACTTTAAAGGGATGTTCCTTCGCCAAGTGAAATGTAGTCAGTTGCCCCTTTCTCCAGTTAGATCAGTGGGGAAAAGCAATTCGCAACCCGCCCAGTCATTCTTCTAATCTAGCAGTATTCTTTTTGCTTTAGCTTAGCATAAACAGTGTGAGTGAATGGTAACAGTTAGCCTAGTAGCCACGCGTTTGTGTTTATAGATGTAGATGTTTTATTTTTATTTGAATGATTGTAATGCTAGTTGTTACCATTCACTTGTGTTGTTAATGCTAAGCTAACAAAATACTGGAGAGCGACTGGGTGGTGTCAAAATGCTTTTTCCTCACTTATCTAACACTGAAGAATATGGCAACAGACTTAACTTCCCTTATAGGGTGGAAAGTTCCTTTAAGATTAAAGGTCTGCTTTATAATTCAAATGATTGGCAGAAAAAGAGACAATTGTGGAACAATGAGTGAGATTTATGATCACAAACATTGAAAGACTGGTTTCAGTAACATGTTTTGGCATTAGATTCTTTTTTCAGTTGTGCATTATTTATTTTTAAATATCAACACTCTAAAACAAACTTTTTACAAAGTTAAACAAAAATGATTGCATTGGTAATAATCCAGCCCACACAGTGACATAAAATAAGCATTTTGTTCCTCTCCACATCATTCCATTGTTCCTTTTGAGACTAGAATCACAGCCAGGGGAGGAACTCAACCCAGGAAACCTCCCCTTCTACGTTTCTCATCCTCCACCAGATGTTGCCTCACAGTGTGCTCTTCTCAACAGTCTGCAATAATTAATGAACAATCCTCCAACAGGGCCTGAATTATAGGCCTTTTTGGACTTTTGCACATGCAGTGAGAGTTTTTACAGGTATGCTCTTGGAGGTGAGTCATTACTTCTCATGCATTTAGGAGAAAGATAAAAGCTCTTCAAGTCAAAATGCTCTTCCTGTTCAGTGAATGGAGCTAAATATACCACAAGAGCACTTAACATCACTGCTACCTCTCCAGGCAGAACAATATTTGGCTTCTGTTCTGATTCTGTAATCCTAAAATTGAGTCTGGATGGTTCTTTTAGTTTGACTGACTGATTACTGTGACCCATGCTGCTGGCAGAGGACAAGACCCAATTTGTAGGCTGTTCATCATCTAATGAGCCAAATCATATCCAATTACACGCCCGCCATCCATTATGAGGGATATGTGTATGATGGATATTATTAAAGATCACTGGCACTTTGGTGTTGCATTATGATTCACCTTATGACTCACTCAGGTCTTGGTAACAGTGGATCCTGCATCACGCAGCAGAAAACACGGAAACATTTGTAAGGTTTTTAACTTACATGGGTTTAGATGAAACAGAATAGTCTGTTAATATAAATCGGTCAGAAGCTGAGGAAGAATCTTATGTTTAAAAATAGTTCAAGCATGTAAACAGCACAAGTAGCTTCAAGTTTTTGAGGACTAGATGGGACAACTGGGACTTTCTTGCACGAACTGTTTGTTAATTGGAGACCTTGACTAAGAAGATTTGTGTTTTTGTCTCCTCAGAACTTGAGCTGCGTGACTTTCATGGCGTATTTGTGCCTAACGCTGGTGTGGAATCCCCACGGAACCAAGATGCCTCAATGTGACAATCATACTACCATGACCATTACTAGTGACTGTGCCAAATAGATTACTAATGAGGAAGGCAAAGGACAAGAAAGGTGAGGATGGAGGGTGGAAGATGTTTGCCTCTAGAAATTATGTTTTAGTGACAGAGTTGTGATTAGAGAGGTATTTATATTTTAAAAAACATGAAAAATGTTTTAGTCAACTAAAACAACTCTACAATTACTACAAAATAGTCATCTTTTCTGCTTTGTTTAGTTTTTTGCTATTTTGTTGCAACATTTTCCCTTTCAATTAATTTTCTCTCTCTTCAGGTTTGTTTAGTATGGGGTGCTGATTGCAAAGTATTACATAGAACGTAATTTTTTTTATAGTATTTAGAATGAAATCTAAATGTATAATGTGAAATGTTACACTGGTATGGCATGGCATGGCATGGCATGGTATGGTGTGGTGTGGTGTGGTGTGGTGTGGTATGGTATGGTATGGTATGGTATGGTATGGTATGTGCCGGGGTGAGTACTCCTCTCATTTTCCCATCTTTGAGTTGTGTGTTTCAGGAGAGGGAGGCTCCAGCTGCAGCTGATTTGCAATCATCGGGTCTGGCTACAAAAGGAGGATGAAGAACACTCCTCGACGCTGGATGATTACTACAGCTTGGTAGTTTCCTGCCCTCTTGCAACTCTTGAATTTTGTGCTCTAGTGTTTCTAGGATTTTTTGTGAACCTTTGGATCTCTTCCCTGTGCTTACCCGTTACCAGGTTTTGGAACGTTTTTGGACTTCTGTGACTTCTCTGGATTACGTCTCTGGTTTTCTGCAACTCCTCAGCATTACTCACCTGTGTCCCATAGGATTTCCGGACGCAGCTCTCACCGTTCTCCATTCCTCCTGGCCGGCCCGCTCTCCTGCTCTCCTCTTGCTCCCTCTCCTGGACACTCCACTTGGATTCACCCTGGCACCCAACCTACCCTCCCTCATTCCTACACTCCCCTACTCCAGTAAGTCTATTCTCTGCACCCACCAAGTTTAGACTTACCTTCCTGGGCTCACCTGTATCTGCTCTCCCCTCCTCAGACGCTGCACTCCCGTTCTCGATCTCCACTGGGCTTTTCCAGTGCACCTTCAGTTCCCGTTTTAAAATAAAGATTCTTTTTTTTTACCATAAGATCTGTGAGAGTGATTCTGCATGTTCTGGGTTAAACGCATTCCCCAAACCATGTCAGTATATGGTATGGTATGGTATGGTATGGTATGGTATGGTATGGTATGGTATGGTAAATCTAAATAGTTTGAATAAAATTTAAATTTAAGACATAAATTCTAAATACTTAGGATCACATCTTAAAGTTGAGTTCAAGCCATGAAATCTAAATGTACATGAAGCAGTTTTGATTTATATTACTACACATGTATTAGCTTTTAAATATATTTTGCTTTTTACATTTTATTTACAGTCAGCATCACATATTTTAATTGTGCTGTTTTTCAGCAGGAAATATAGTTTTTTTTTCACGTTTCAACAGCCGCAGAGACATTTAGTTGTATCCTGAAACATGACTTGTATTAGACCCAGAATCAGACACATGTTGTTGATCCCCAAGGGAAGATTTTGTTCCAGCTGCTTCAACCAAGAGCAGGAACTTTTAGTAAAATAGGCGTAGAAAATATGGTGAAAATAAAATTTATAAGTAAAAGGTAAACTGGATGTATAAAGTGAACATACCGTAATTCACATAATAAATATAATTTATTATATTGTCTATATATCCATTTGATGTTTTGTAACTTCTACTTTAGTTGATATTTAGTTCATAAATAATTACCTTAGTAACTGAAAATAACTAAACTGAGCCATATCGGCTAAATGGATGAAGTAAACCTTAAAGGTTTCTTTTTGTTTTATCTAATCTCAAAAGCAGATCTTATTCTTCTGTTAAATGTATTTTCTCCATGATAGTATCAAGGTGATTTGATGTCATCTGAGAGAGAACATCAAAAGAAAACATCTCAAGTGTTCCTGTAGCTGTTTTCAAAGGGATCTGAGGCTTACGTTAGATAAGTGGTTGCTAAATCGGCCTCATGTCTCCATCTAAAAGGAATGTGGAGAAGAATCAAGATATTTCATGTTTATTCAGCTTTTATGTTATTTTATTTTAATAGACATGCTATTATATTCTTTGCTGAGATCTTGTTGACATTGTTTTCACCTGCTGTGCATTTGATTGCAGAAGAATATAATTTTACCAATTAAATGGTAAATGGTAAATGGTCTGTATTTGATATAGCGCCTTCTAGAGTCCTGGAACCCCCCAAGGCGCTTTACAACACAATCAGTCATTCACCCATTCACACACACATTCACACACTGGTGGGGATGAGCTACAATGTAGCCACAGCTGCCCTGGGGCGCACTGACAGAGGCGAGGCTGCTGAGCACAGGCACCACCGGTCCCTCCGACCACCACCAGCAGGCAACTTGGGTTAAGTGTCTTGCCCAAGGACACAATGACAGCGACAGACTGAGCAGGGCTCGAACCTGCAACCTTCCGATTTCAGGGCGAGCACCTAACTCCTGTGCCACCGTCGCCCCATGTGAGGAAGCGTTGGCGCACAGCTGGGTTTTATTTATACATGCCTGCTGGAATAATAGCTGTTTATAGATTTCTCAGACTCGGATGTTTAGTAAATGTGAAACATTTTATTATTTCAAATTATTTCTTTGTTTTCTCATTTGGGTGCGTGTATACGTATGTGACATTCAATCCTGAAATGTTAAAAGTAACTGACATTCTTCAGCTCATTTATCGTTACAGAAAGCAAATAATGTTAAATACCTGAACTGCTGAACTGCTTCTTAATCAAGTTAAAGTTTTTTTCTACTTAACTGACGAGTTTGTCCAAAAGTTGTGTTGGCTTTTGCTCCACACTTCAAAGTTGTTGTTTTTTGTTTCATGAATGGTAATAGTCATTTTATGTGTGAAATCTTTTTTTAAATAATCAAAAATAGCTTTGGCTCTATATGCTCCATCTTGTGTTTGCATCTCTGCGGATTCCATGGAAACGTGAGCTGAAACATCGGAGGACCGATTTAAAACCACCCTTAGACACGATCGTTTCAGTTTTGATGGAGGTCTCACAGGGATTACAATCTTCTTCCCACAAATCCTCACCTATGTGACGAAAACCAAGCCATCACATGAGATAAATCCTAACATTTGAAGCCACTCTGGTCTACAAGAGGAGAGTCAGAATAATCTGTTCTCTCCACCAAAACACCTTGATAACTGCTTTCTGCATCGGTGGTTCTCATCAGGCCAGACCCAACTTATTCCTCAGGATGTGCTAAAAGCTATAACTGTTCTTTACTTCACTGGTTTTCCTGTTGATTCTGCTAGAAGAGTGGGATTTTTACGTGCAGAATCCCAACCTGTTGCTAGAATGAAAATGAATACAACTTATAAAAAATGTTTTCTTGTCCTCCACCAAATCCTGCTCCTTAGTTTCCGTCTCTGACCAAGACCCCACAATGCGGGGCAATTCTTCATTGACTCCCATGTTAAAAATACCAATTTCACAGCAGAAATAAACATGTTTACAGCCTGGTTCCAGAACATGTTTTAGGTTTAATTGATCTAGTTTACACTCATGACAACTCTGAGGGGGGTGAATTTTTTTCTCACTCTTCTGTTTAAGTGTATTAAATGCCTAACATTCAGACTAATTAATGAGCATCAGACCCACGTGCTAGCAAGCTTACAAGATAAATAAGATGAGAGGCTAGTCTTAGGAAAACAAATGCTTTTTAGAGCCAAAACAGCAGCGTGGGATTAAAGACGCAAGAGTTGACCGGTCACGTCGACAATCCGGTTCATGAGTGTCAAATCGGAGATGACAGCAGCCTGGTTTAACGTCCTTCTGAAAGAGCTCAGCATTTAGACATTAACGCCGTGAGTTTACAGAAATGATGAGAGACGGATTATTTCAGTAAGAATACTGTGGAAATCATCTGGTCACTCACTGGTCTCTCAAAATGCATTCTCATATTTAAACTCAAGCCAGGGAAAATCCAACTAAACAATCCCTAAATTTAAACCTACGTATATCTTAAAGCTGTCATTCACTTGTTTGCTTTTTCATATATTTGTTGTGGTCTCTGGTTTAAATGAATGCATTGGAAGTTGTTCTCTGTAGGGCAAAAAAGCTCTTGTGTTTCTCTTTCAGGAAGTGCAAGATAGCTGGAGGAGTGTGTGTGTGTGTGTGGGGGGGGGGGGGGGGGAGAAAACAACAGGGTTTGGAGTCTTACTCAATAATTTTCATGACAATCAGACATCTTGCCTCTGATTAGCTAACAGCAATTATCCTCTTCCATTGCCTTCATTCTTTCTGCAACAATGATGTTTGATCTCAACAAATACGCCTGAAGGAGTTTTGCCATGTTGTGGAGTTAATGCTAACGGTGAGCTTCTCCTCACCGAGACGTGCACTTTGACTTGAGCTGTGATTGAACTGGCCGTTAGCTTATCAGTCCATTTGGACATAAATTCCGTTTTTCTGAACAGAGACTGATCAGAAAGCTATCCATAAGGTAGGCTGGCCATTATTCCTCATGTTTACTAAAACAAACTTCATATTACTCAAAATATCCCTTTGACACATCAGAGAAAGCCCCCCTCAGGGATTGTGACCTGTGAACTAAATTAAACTAAAATAATCCCTTAGAACACATCAGAACATCATGTTGCATGTTACTTCTTTAAAATTTGAATTTGCAGTTATTGAACAAGTTCTGCGTTCCCTTTTAGAGCCAAGCCTCTATGATGTTCGGTCTCATGCAACATAGAAACAGGAAAACACAAAACATGTGGCAATGATTTGGGAGTTTATGACAAAAAAAACTGCTAAATGTTAGCATTTTTGTTCATGTTGATGATCATTTCTAACAAAAGAGAAAACAAAAAAAAAATCACCATAACTCAGCTGATCTCAATTAGCGTCCGTCACCTGGTGAGGAGCTTCAGGCTTTGATTTATGAAGAGAAAGGATCAAATTAACTGAATAAATCATCAAATCGTCCAATTAGCAAATGTCTTTCTATCATTTCCTCTCACCAGGAGATTTTCTGAGACTCTGCTAAAGGGCGTTGAATCAGCTTTCTCTGGTTCCAGTTCTCTGAGACACTTCCTGTTGACTTAACCTTCAACTTGTCACATTTCTGTACGCGTGAAGCCACTTGCGCTTTTGCTAAAACACTCCATATTCACAGGAATCCTGTCAATATGAATTTGGAGTGGAAATCAGAAAATCCCTTATTTAATTGCTTCAGTTTTGTGCTGCAAATGAAACCAAACTTAACAAGTTAAAAAGCTCAAAGAAGGTGAATTAGATCCTTATTATGCAGGAAACAAATTGGCGGCTTCACAAATGACACGTAAGCAGTTGAGTGAAGTGGACATGCAGCAGCAGCCCGGTTCCTCGGGTCTGTCTAATTGTACCGCTGTGCAGCACAAACCTCATAAGGACAGATTAAAGGTTGCTGTTGAGTTGTGATCCTATCCTGATACCCTGACATCAAAGTTTTCCTTTTACAAACTAACATTTAACATGTGTCTGCCTGCAGCAGCTTGTCTTTCATTCGCTGGCTTTCTTTTCCAATTCTCCATGATTTACTTTCATATCCACCCACCCCCGCTCTTCCTTCTCAGAATCCAATACTGTCAAGAGTTCTAAACTCCCAGGATACACGGTGATTTAGTGACATTTTAGAGTCTCAAATGTGGAACAGCTTGATTCCAAGGAAGGCTGCTTGGTTTGGTTAAAAAAAATAACATTTTTATTTCTCTGAAACACCTGAATCTCAATTCTCAGTGCCCTTACTCATAATGACCTATGGCAGGGCTATTCAATTCCAGGCCTGGAGGGCCGGTATCCTGCATGTTTTAGTTTTAACCCTGCTTCAACTCACCTGATTTCATTCAGCAGGGGTCTCATTTATAAAACATTGCGTAGAATCCTTACTAAAACCGTACCTAAGCCCAGCAAAATAAATGTACTTATGCCAAGTAGGTTTGTGATCTTTCAAACATGGAGTACGCACAGCTGCACGCAATCTCCACTTCATAAATCAGAAACTATCTAGAAAGGTTCTCAGCTGCTTTTT